TTCTTCCTTCACTATCACCTCTTCTTCCTCTTCTTCCCCCTTCACTTCTCCTTTCCCTCCTCCTCCAGCTCTTCCTCCTCCTGCTCTTTCTCCCCTTCGTCCCTCTCTTTCTCCTCCTCCTTCCTCTTTGATGAGATCTTGCTGTGTTTCCTAGGCTGCTCTCAGAGTCCTAGGTTCAAATGATCCTCCTGCCTCAGCCTCCCAAGTAGTTGGGTGTTTACCACTGTGCCTGGCTCTAGTCTCTCCTTAGGGTTAATGTGCCATCTAAATGTAATGAGCATAATAATGGATGATGTATTAATCTTTCCTTTCTGCTGCTGTATTGTCAAAGATATTTATAAAACTTTGCTAATTCTTAAACTTGCCTCACCTGGAAAGGCAAAAGAATTAGACTAGCTAAAGCAGTTTGGAAAAGGAAGCACAAAGCTGAAGATACCACACTACCCTATTTTAAGACTTGCTTTAGAACTACAGTAATCACGGCAGTGCTGTCAGCGGGGAAGAGATGATTGGATCAGTGGCAGAGTCCAGAAGTAGATGTGCCCAGGCAAAGCCAGCTTCACGATGTAGGTGCAAAGGCATATTCTACCAGTGGTATTGGAACAAGTGGGCATCTGTAGGCGAAGAAAGACACTTTTACCTAAACCTTATTCCTTATCTGCAAATCAACCCAAAATGAATGAATTGTAGATGCCAGGGGTGGTGGTCTGCTCCTGTCATCCCTCCACTCAGGTTGAAGTGGGATATAGCGATGGTTTTATAACATTGTAAGTGCAGTTAATGTCCCTGAACTGTAAATGGCAAATTTTATATTAAATATATTTTGCTGTAATAAAATAATACAGTTAACTGCCATGTAATAGTTTCCACCCAACTTTCAGCTGACAGTGATTAATGTGCATTGTAATGACATGATAAAGGCAAATGTCAAGAGAGAAATCTAATAAAATTCTCTAGTGCCTTCTGAGAGATGAATATGATTAATTAAAATCATATACTCATGGATTGATTTCAGTGTTTGGCAGTATCTGTCTTTGTGAACACATTTTCAAAACTGAAATTGTAAAAATCTCATTACAAATCAGCCCTTTTTTTTTTGGTACCGGGGATCAAACTCAGGTCCTAGCACTTGCAAGGCACTTGCGAGGCAGGCGTCAGAATCACTGAGCCAACCCCCCCGCCACCAGCCTTTTAAAATTTTTTTAGTCTGAGACAGTGTTTCTCTAAGTCACAAAGTTGCCCAGGCTGGGCTTGAACTTTTGATTCCCCTGCCTCAGCCTTCCAGAATGCCAGGATTACGGGCTTGTGCCACCATGCCTGGCTCAGATACAGATTTGCGATTGATTTTAATGAAAAGGCGAAAACTGTTTCAAAACCAATTAAGTGAAATGTTATTTCTCCATAATAAAATTCATTACTTTTATTAGTAGACTTATTACACAAAAATGAGTGGTAATTATACTTACTGTCAAAAAACATTTTATGGAAATTTGTTTTCTCATATAATACGGTATTTACTGATGTCTGGAGTATTTATTCTCTGGCCCTTAACAGAAAATGTTGACCCTTGCTTAAAGCATTGATGCTAAAGCAATCAGGGTTTCACTGTATGCCTCACTTTAGTTAGTTATATTTCATAAATTTTGACATATTACAGTTTCTCATCATGTAGCTCAAAGTATTTGTATTTCCTAGTTTCCATTTGATATCTTCTTTCTTTCTCTGCGCTGAAGATCAAACCCAAGATTTTTCTACCTCTGTGCTATGTCCCCAGGTCTTTTGTTTTGAGACAGGCTCTTGCTAGGTTGCCCAGGTTGCGCTCAAACCATGATGCTCCCGCTCCAGCCTCTCAAATAGCTGGAATTTTACAGGTGTGCATGGTCGTGCCTACCTTGATGTCTTCTTTAGCTTCTGTTATTCTGAAGTGTACTGTATAACTTCTGAACGTGTAAAGATTGTCTTGTGTTCTTTCCTCTGACTTCTGAGCTCCAGAGTGGTCAGGACCCACGTACCGTTCAATGTCCAGCTTTTGAGCATTGTTGAGGTTCACTTTGTGGCAGCCTCTGTCTGTTCTCGCAGATAATCCAGAGTGTCCAGAGGTGGGCTTCTGTCTTTTGGAGCCGTGGCTCTCCAAATTAGTACAGAGTTCCACTTTCTACTCTTACACAGAAGGTGTGCTTGTACTTTAGGGTAGTTTTTTCCTTTCTCAATCTGACTGTTTTTCCCCTCCCCTTTCCCTGTAGGCATATGCAAGGTTAAAGTTTTTTTGGGGTACTTAACTTTTGAACCTAAATCTCAGCATTCCTCAGTACATTGTTCCATGCCGTAGTTGCTACTCACTAAATTAAGTGTTCACTTACACACGAGGACTTTATTTAAGAGTGATTTGTTTGTTTGTTTGTTTATATTTGAGAAAGGGTCTCATCATGTAGTGCAGGCTGGCCTTGAACTCACTGTGAAACCCCAGCTGGCCTCAAACTCAAAGCGATCCTCCTACTTCAGCCTCCTGAGTTCTGGGATTCCAGGCGTGCACCCGACTAAGAGTGAAATCTTTTCTCGGATTTTACTCAGTTGCCATATTGTATGCTATTTTTCTCTTGAAAACTAGTTTGCCTCCCCTTTGACAGAAGGAAGTGAGTGTGCTTCCTAGGACTGTGTCCTTGTCTGGCGACACCCAGCGCTGCCTTCAGCCAGGGGTCCATGCAGGTATGGCGGTGAGCCCTGTGGACCAGCTCTGCCCTTTCAGTGCTGCGAATATTTGGGTTGCCTCTCATTTTGTGCAAAGGAAATGTGTGAAAACAGAACTGCGATTTGTAAGGCATGGTGTCTTAGGTGCTATAGTGCTTAGCTTTTCCTTCATGGAGGATCTGTTGTTTGTTGCTGTCTTGCAGTAATTGCTTGAAATATTGTGATATCGTTTCCCTGCTCAGAAAGAAAAGAAAAATAAATTGACAAAAGTGGAAGCTTCTGCTTCTGCAGCAGAAAAACATTAGCTTTGACCTTCAGAGTTGGGGATAGATGTGTCCAGATTCCAGGTTCCTTCACTGTCCTTTTCTGCCAGTCAGAGCTTTTTAAGTACACATTCACTAATCAGATCATTAGTATTTGTGAGCATGTCGTGTGTGTGTGGCTTTGTATTTCATCTTAGGAGACCTTGCAGCAGTCGCAGGCCAGTGTGACAGCCCCTGAGCTGGGCACCGGCTGACAGCCCGCCCTGCTTGCCTCGCCCTGTTGCTGCAGAGGCTGGAGGTGTGTGCACATCCTGCTTGTTCTGTGTGTTTAATTTGGGGCTGACGTGGAATTTCTGTCATAGAAAATGAGCAGTAAGCCAGGCATGGTGGCGCACGCCTGTAATCCCAGCACTCAGAAGGCTGAGGCAGGAGGATCACTGTGAGTTCGAGACCAGCCTGGGCTACATAGTGAGTTCCAGGCCAGTCTCAACTACATAGTGAGACCCTGTCTCAAAAAAACAAAAACAAAAAACCCCCCAAAAAACCACGAAAATGAGCAGTAGAGTTTGCAGTTAGTAGTGAAGTGATTGATTTTCAAAATATATTGGGAAACAAGATAAAAGATTTTGATGATCAAAGTAGAAATTTTAGGATGTACATACAGCACAAAGATTGAACGTAATGTGACCTATGGACTTCAGGTATTAATAATGTGTCAGCATTGTTGGTGGGAATGTAAACTAATATAACCACAACAGAAGTCAGTGTGGAGGTTCCTCAAAAAAATTAAACCAGGGCCGGGGATTTAGCTCAGCGGTTCGGTGGCCTGCCTTGCAAGCGCAAGGACCTGAGGTCAATCCCTGGTACAAAAGAAGAAAAAAAAAAAAATTAAACCAGAGGGCCAGGGATTTAGCTCTGTGGTGCCACTACCTGCCTCGCAAGCGCAAGGACCCGAGTTCAATCCCCAGTACCCAAAAAAATTCAAAAATTAAAAATAAAGGTAGAAATTCTGTTTGACCCAGCCGTACCTCTTTTGGGTGTCTTCCTGAAAGAACTGATGTCATAATATTACAGTGATCCATGCATACCCATGTAGCACAGCTCACAGCTAAACCATGGAACCGGTCTATGTCTATCAACAGACAATTGAGAAAATGTGATATAAAAATTAATGCATTTTAGCTGGGCGTGGTGGCGCACGCCTGTAATCCCAGCACTCGGGAGGCTGAGGCGGGAGGATCGCTGTGAGTTCGAGACCGGCCTGAGCTTCATAGTGAGTTCCAGGTCAGTCTCAACTACATAGTGAGACCCTGTGTCAGGAAAAAAAAAAAAAAATGCATTTTTAAAAACCCAGTAACAAATGTCAGCATATTGTACACCTAAAATGTGCCGGTAAAATTAACGAATTAAAAAAAAAATGTGGTATTCGTGCACGACTACTCAATCCTAAAGAAGGAGGCGTTGGAGTCATTTGTGGGAAAATGGAAGGGTCTTGAGACCATATCACGAAGTGGAATAAGTCAGTTACAGAACGTTTCTCTGAGAGAAACAAATATAATTTAAAGAGCAAAGTCAATGAGACATTTGAAGAACAGAGTTAGGCTCTGAGATGGGAAAGGGCTCTGGCAAAGGAAGCAGAGGGAAGGATGGGAGGTCAGGGGAAGTGAAAATGATCGCCGTGTGGTAGGTGTGAGTGTCAGCCCCACGTGAACGTAAACACCGATGGCGGTTAAATGAGCGTCACTTGTCAGTGTTGGCTTCCCAGTTGTGCAACCGAATGGAAGACGTTGGTAAGAGGAGGAAGGCATGGGAGGAACCGGATGAGGGAGGATATGAGGACTGTGCTTTCCGCTCCGTTCTAGAAACCCAAAAGCTCCCCGCCAAAAAAAAGAAAATCTGTTCATTAAAACTGTGTAACTCCGGTTTAACACCCCTTATCGGTCCCTGTGGTACAGCTGGTGGGTACCCTGCTGCCCCTGGGGTTTCTGTCTGTGAAGTGAGCTGTCTGTTCACTGACTGTGCCCTCCTCTCTCCCTGTGTGTGGGACAGTTGGAATGCCAAGATGCCTTGGAAACAGCAGCCAGAGCCGAGGGCCTTTCCCTGGATGTCTCTATGCACTCCCAGCTCCGCATCCTGGACGAGGAGCATCCCAAGGGAAAGTATCACCACGGCTTGAGCGCGCTGAAGCCCATCCGGACCACTTCCAAGTAAGAGGCTCGCTGGTGAATGACTTGTCTGCAGAGCACCAAAGCATTTGGGAACTTTGAGCTGAGATAAGGCAGTGGAGGAGACCTGTTTTTTTGTGAAGAGCTCTGTTTACTAAACAGTGTGCTCCAGTACTGACCAGCCTCTCAGTGTGTGGTGACAGCCTGTGATTTGGGTTTTTCTCCTCAGACACCAGCACCCAGTGGACAATGCTGGGCTCTTCTCCTGTATGACTTTTTCGTGGCTTTCTCCTCTGGCCCGCGTGGCCCACAAGAAGGGAGAGCTCTTGATGGAGGACGTGTGGTCTTTGTCCAAGTGCGAGTCCTCCGATGTGAATTGCAGAAGGTAGGCGTCTCTGGTCCACTCCGGTCTCCCACATGCTGGAAGCCAGGGCCTGAGCTAGGAGGGCGGGCTGAGTGGCGCGCGGTGCACGGCCATGTCCCTCAAGGAGCCGGACTGTCCTGGGGAAGGCGGGCAGCCCGGGAGGGCTCTCCCTGCGCTCTTCTGCTTTGTCTGCTGTTTCCCTCGAATCCTGTTTAACCACAGGCTCTCTCTCTCTTTCTCTCAGTCCCGCTTGTCTTCCTGAGTCTGCAGGGAGATTATGTCGCTGCCCTGTGACAGAATACATTTTTGTGGTAGCCGATTAAGGGTTGGGGTCCCTCAAGGAAGGAAGTTCTTATCCACAAAGTTGAGGGATAGTCTTTCTGGGGGTGGAAGGAAGGGCTGTTGCTGTCATCACTGTCAGTACCCGAGCAGCTCGCTGGCAGGGTAAACACGTACTTGCCCGGGAGGGGACATTATCTCCAGAAGATGAAGATTGCATGATTCTGAAGAACGGGCTCATGTGGTGACAGCCTGGAGGCAGAGCTGGGGGAGCTGGGACACGTGTCCCCGAGGAGGTGTGTGACTGAGGACATGTGCCCTTGTTAAGACTAGAGAGACTGTGGCAAGAAGAGCTGAATGAAGTGGGGCCCGGCGCTGCCTCCCTGCGAAGGGTTGTGTGGATCTTCTGCCGCACCCGGCTCGTCCTGTCCATCGTGTGCCTGATGATCACGCAGCTGGCTGGCTTCAGTGGACCAGTAAGTTCTAACCGTCCTCCTGACGTCTGCAGGGCCCAGAATGGCCAGCTCTAACCCTCTCGTTCTGTTGCAGGGGTTGTGCTCCCTTCTGGGCTAGGTAGCAGCCTTAGAGACTGTGTCTTCAGGTCTGCCGGAAGGGTCAGTGACGGGGGGTGAAAGATGGCTTGCCGGCAGCCGGAAGGATGAGGGGAGTGTTTCAAGAGAAGCAGCAGTTGTCTTGCTTTCCTGGGGTGGGTGGGGTGAAGCTGAACTGATCCTGTTCTGCACAGGAGTTTGCTCTTGGTTGAGTGTTGACATGAGGTGACAGTCGCGATCGGGGCAGCTGTGAGTGGGCGAGTGCAGCTTGTGTGACATGGGCTAGCACAGTGCGGGTGCCGTCGGATGCCTGAGGCGGAGTCACCGTGTGTTACAGTCCTGTGGCACAGGAAGAAGCTAGAGGACTGTGGAGGTTTTCAGGGCCTGAGCTGGCGCCCGTCTGCACTTCGGTGAATAGTGTGAGCTGCACGAGCCTTGGGGTGGCAGCTGTGGTCTCCTAGTCTGTATGAGAGCAGAGTGGGTAAGGGAGCGTTTGATGTTCATGCACCTGCTGTGCTGCCTTACACTTGAGATTTTGATTAAATTTATTTTCTACATATTTGCCTTGAGGCATCGGAGCAGTAGTACTGCTTATTCTGTGCATTTTCCATGTGTGGGTAAGCTGGAGGTTCATGGTTTGGGTAAGTATGTGCCACAGATGCATGGTGATTAGATAAAACTAATTGACAGTTTTATTTGTTTTGTTTTGTTTAATGTTTGATACCTTTTTAAAAGCTTTGATCTCTTTTCTGAAGCAGAGAAGACTACTTTTCTGGCGTTGGGGTTTCTATGTTAAGTGACCAACTAACACACTTTCACATAGCTTTGAATAAAAGGCACCACGTGACTGAAGCGTTATGTTCCGTTATGTTATGTTCTTGACCAAAGCGGCAAACATTTCCTAGAGCCAGCGTCCCCCAAGAAGAGCTTCTGTCATTGTTTCCCTACAGGGCCGGTGGCTGCTCTGAGTCTTCATAGAGCTCCTTGACCTCAATAGCACAGTGTAGGCTTCCAAGATAAAATAACGGGTTTTCTTAACCGCCCCCCCCCAAATCCGGGATTGTTGAGATTTTAACTTTTTACTTGGGGAAACAAGTTACTTGTGCAGTTCAGCTTTTGACGTTAAGGTCACCCTTGGGCATCTATGTACCCCAAGTTCTCAATTATAATGCAGTGAACTCGATAAGACTTCCAGGCACCAGGGAAAGCTGGGTTCCTTCCTTTAACAGGAAAATGCAGCACCATTCTCTCTGCCCTCTCGGAAAGAGCACCTCGAGCCAGTGTCACCTCTGGGTTTCCCTCCTGGAACACCTGAGAAGGCAGTGGGTCCACCCGTCCATCATCCCCTTAATCGACGAAAAGATTTAAAAGTGTAAGCAGTGCAGACTTCTTTTTCGGAGCCCCATTTCCGATTTCTTTCTTTTTAATTGGAAGCGGAAACACCAGGCTGGTTTTGAGAGTAGCACTGGCAGCAAGCAAACCTCCTGTGTGTGGACTTTAGTCCTGTTGAGAAATGTCCATTTTTAATTTTTGCACATTTTCTAATCTGGCATATTTTGCAAACTGATGTAATCTCTTCTATAGAAACCTACACAAGATA